AAAAAGTGAAAAAACTTGATAAGAGGATTTGAAAAGGGCAAATAAATTGATGAATACAATAATGGGTTGGTTAATATAACCTGTAAATTATGACCAAATAATGTGGATCGGTTAACAAAATTTGTTATGAGATTGTTGGTGCTGAAAAGCTAAAAAAGAGTATATGAGATGTTGGAGTTTTGAGAATCTTATTAGCACAATTGGAATCTCATGGTATTGTTTTAGTGACATTTATCTTACATACATTGTATTTGCATAATTTGGTGAATATTTGAATTCTTATTTTGATAATTGCATTTGCATCTTGGTTGGGGGTAGACATTTGCACCATGTATTGAATATTTATTATTGTTTACAACATGCATTTGCATCATTAGTGAGAATCTAGATTGTCGTATTTGCATCATTTAGAAAGAATTTGCATGATATTTATCACATATAGGATTTTGATTTCAGTGAAAAAAATTTTTAAACTTGTGAATCCTTGGACAAGGAAAATATTTTTTGTATTGTAAAGGCCTCTATTTAAGAGGATCTTTTTCTTGAAGACATCCGAAGATAATCTATAAGACTTTCAAGCATGATCTTTAAAAAATTTTATGGATCGTTTGATCTCATATTTCAATATAGACTTAGCCTAGTCATCTTTAATCTTGGTTCAGTCTAGATTATTTATTTTTCTGACTTGAGGTTCAATTTCGATCACTCATTTTTTATCTCGGTTCAGTCTAGAACATTGTATTTTTTTACCTACAGTTCAATTTCAGTCACTCATTTTCAATCTTGATTCAGTCCAAATTTTTTTTTAACTACAATTCAATTTAAGTTACTCATCTTTTATCTCGATTCAATTCAAATCATTTTTTTACCTACGGTTCAATCCCTGTCACTTATTTTTTATCTTGGCTCAGTCTAAATCATTTAATTTTTAACTTGTAGTTCTATCCCGATTACTTATTTTTTATCTTGATTCGATCCATATCATTTATTTATCTGATTTGTAGTTTAGTCCCAGTCACTTATTTTTTGCCTTGGCTAAATTAGGTCATTTATTTTTCTAACTTGTGACTCAATTTTGGTAACTTATTTTTTGCCTTGGCTTGGTCCAGATCATTTAATTTTTTATTTATGATTCAATATTTGGTCATTTATTTTTTATTCTGACTAAGTTTAAATCATTTATTTTTTGACATGTGATTTAATCCCAGTCACCCATTTTTTACTATAGCTCAATCCAAGTCATTTAATTTTTTTACTTACAACTCAATCCCAGTCACCTTGTTAACACAATTTAATCATTGTTATTTTTTGCTTTAGCTCAATTTCAATTACATTTTTTATTTTGGCATAATTCAATCATTGTTATTTTTTACATTGGCTCAGTCCGATCATTTTCATATTCAAATTTGGCTTTGTTCAAATCATTTAACTTTGAGCTTCAACTTGGTATAAGTATTTTCATTTCTTAAACCAAGACGTAATGGCTATTTATATATTTGCATCATTTCTATTTCACAGGAATGCACAAAAAGAGGCAACTATAGATATCTCATTTCGTCTAAGGCATGCATTCAAATTCTCAATTTCAATTTTGTCAAAATCGTTGCGCTTTCGAAAGGCCCATTAGCTTTGAATAATTGGGCATTGAATTGATTTTGGGCTTTCAGCCCAACATAGGTCCGTTTGACTTTTTTTAATCCTATTTTTAGTTTATTATCTTAATAAAAAATTAATTGATAATTAATCAAAAAAGAAAACAACAAACTGTAAACACCCCATTTCGTCTAGAACATGCATTGAAATTCTCCATTTCAATTTTGTCAAAACCATTGGGCTTTCGAAGGGCCCATTGGCTTTGAATAATTGGGCATTGAATTGATTTTGGGCTTTAAGCCTAACATAGGTCCGTTTGACTTTTTTTTTATCCTATTTCTAGTTTATTACCTTAATAAAAAATTAATTGATAATCAATAAAAAAAGAAAACAACAAACAAATGAAAAAGGAAAATGAATCAAAGGTGATTTGGTACTCGGGATTTAATCCTAAAAATTTAGCCTGATTGAAATAAAAATCAAACTACGAAACATGGAAAACAAATCAGGTAATAAATTGGATTGAATATGTTTGAGATAAATTCAATCTTTGTTACTGAATAAGAAATCCCTAAAATTTCTATTAAAAAAAAACTTATAAATCGTGCCCTCAACATACAAAGACATAGGGAAATATGGGCAAAAATTGCTAAAGCAGATTTTAGGTTTTAAACAATTTTTGGGTTTTTGGGGATTTAATCCTAAAATTTTAATATTAAGGATCAAATTCTGGTTTTAAATTATGTTTATGTTCGAGTTCATTTCTAAGAAATCATTTAGTTTCTAGGATTGGGTTATCTTATGTGTTTTTTTTTTTTTAAAAAAAAATTTTAGAAAAATCTAGAATTAAGAATGAAGGTTTGAAGTTTTCGATTGAACTTCCTGGCCAAAGTTGAGTTTTCTGGCTAGATCTCGGCGAGTTTTCCAGAAATAGTTGACCAAATCTAATTTTCGATCACCGAGGTTTGAAAAGTAAAGAGAGACAGAAAAAATGAAGTTTTAAAAGAGAAAGGTTGGATGGTTTTGAAGAAAACAGAAAAAATCTTAGCATTTATACTAGATCAGGACCACGTCGTTTTAGGAAAGGGCTTAACCTGTGTGAACTCGCGATCGCCTGAGTGCAAGATTCAACCCGATCACAGGTATTTGCTTTTCTTTTTCCATTTTATTTTCTATTTTGATTTTTTATTGATTTTATTGTTATTATTATTATTATTATTATTATTATTATTATTATTTATTTTTAATTATTATTTTACTCATTATTTTAAATTGAACAATTTATTTCTTTTTATGCCTTTATTAATTTTATCTTATTTATTTGTTAATTAAAAAAAACTAAAAAAAATGTTTCCAAAATAAATTTATGAATCCTACAAAAATATTGGAAGATTTTTCATGGATTTACATTTTTATGAATTCTACCAAACTATTGAAAAATTTTATAAATCAAATTTTCATAAAAAATAAAATATTTTGTTTTAATCCTATCAAATTATTGGAGAATCTTAAATTAAAATATTACCAAACTATCAAAAGATTTAATGAATTTTTTAAAAATAAATTTACAATAAAATATCACCAAATTAATAAGAGATCTATATAAAAGTAAATCTTATCAAACTATTAGAAGAATTTACAATTATTTTTTTGAATAAAATATATATTAATAAATCCGACAACGGAGCTTCTTTAGAGTAGAACACTAGTCTGTATGAATACTCCGGATATGAAAAAATTATCTTAAATTACTAACAAACTTTTGAAATAAATTTAGCATTGATTTTCACTAATTAAATTATTTGGTAAAATTATAAGAATATTTTAAAACTTCGATAATTTGAAATCAAATTGGTACTGTCATTTAGATGGGCGCTATAAGGGTGTTATAACTTTCCTCAAGTGTGATTGCACTCTCAAACTTAAAATCTGATTTTGTAGATTAAAATCTACTATTTAAAAATACTTAAATTAATCTTAAAATTTTTTTTAAATGAGACAGATTCAATTAGGTGACTGATCACACCTAAATAAAAAAAATATATATTTATGATAATTTTTTTAATTTATATCTAACAATAAATCTATGAATTCATATAGGTCTCTTTGCATGTACCTAAGATGGAAGGGCCAAACTTGCGGACTGTCCCACCTCCAGGATTGCATAAGCCACCTGAGCCTATTCAGATGCGACATGTTGAGCTGGATATTCTTGATCCAGATGATTATAGCATTGATGGTAGTAGCAACGAGGGAAGCTCTGACGATGGAGATGGATAGAGTGGTAGTTTGAGTTACTTGAAGTAAGTGTACTTGCAAGCTGTAACTCATTGTATTTATGAACAAAATGGAATTTTTAGTTTCATTCGTTTACCCTAATGCTATGCAAGTTGCAATTTGTGGATTCCTTTTCAGTTTTCACTGACCCATGTGAATGCCTTCAGTTGGAAAATAGTTGTATTTCCTAGATATGTCGTTTCTTGTCACGTAACTGAACAGAAAATGAGGAGTACTAGGCTTCGTATGACACTAACATTGAGTTTCCTGGTAAAGAAGCACTAATTAATGGGATATATAGAACTGAAAGAACTGTTACTGTATTATTCCAGTGAAAAATGGAGATGATCTTTCTTGCTGAAGGTACTTAAAAGGAAAATGGTTATGAAGATACTTAAAATTGGATGGGGATCTGCACAAGGTGTAGAAGTTTAAAAGAGTAAAACGGTAGAAAATATGTGTTTGAAGATGATTCTCCACTAACTTGAAGGACATTTTTGATGGAATGATAACTTACAAGTTTGCTTGGCAAATAAAGGTCACTATGTTTACTCACTATGTCATATAATAGATGATTACTCACTATGTTTTAAGTTGATGCAGCTTATATTGATATATTGATATATATATATATATATATTGGTTGAATATTGTATTCTTAGTTTACATAATCAAAATTCAATTCCTACATTTTTAAGTATCAAAAAAATATACAAATAGGTGGTAAAATGTGGGTTCCATGCTATGGGAATAGGTAAAAAAATCTCAAGCATGCACTCACAGTTCTTGCCGTATCATCTAACCCAACTCAACATTCACGAGAACCTTTTTTCTATAAAATATAAAATTACATATTTATTTACAATTAATTAATTTGGAAAGATACAATAAATATATGCCCTTTTTCAAGTTGCAACCAGATTCCTTTTGGAACTTCAACCAAAAAAAAAAAAATGACGTTTTTGGGGGAAAAAAAAGGAAAAAAAAGCTTGGACGGGCCCCATCTTAAATCATTTTCATGGCCCATAAATTGAACTATGCTTATTATATTCGGGTCTAGTGGCCGAAAATCTTATTCCCATTGGCCCGTATACTAATAGAACAGAATTATCCCCGTAACCAAACAACCCGAACCCTGGCATTTTTTCTTAACTCAACATCCTCAAAGCCCTAGCGCCCCTCTCTTTGTCTAACTTTATCCACACACTACCTCCCAAGCCAAACCATAAGCAATGGCAGCCGCCGCTGCTGCCGCCCGACCTCTGGTCTCCGTCCAAGCCATAGAATCTGACATGGCCACTGACGCCGCCCCAACCGTCCCTCTCGCTGATGTAATGAAAGCCTCGATCCGTCCCGACATCGTCACCTTCGTCCACGACAACATCTCCAAAAACCGCCGCCAACCCTACGCCGTCTCCAAACGCGCTGGTCACCAGACCTCCGCCGAATCCTGGGGTACCGGGCGTGCCGTCTCACGTATACCCCGTGTTCCTGGTGGCGGTACTCACCGTGCTGGCCAAGGTGCTTTTGGAAACATGTGTCGAGGAGGTCGCATGTTTGCTCCTACCAAGATCTGGCGCCGCTGGCACCGGAAAATCAACGTTAACCAGAAGCGTTACGCCGTTGCTTCTGCCATCGCTGCCTCTGCTATTCCCTCCCTCGTCATGGCTCGTGGCCACCGCATCGAGGCTGTGCCGGAGATGCCTCTGGTTATATCTGACGCTGTGGAAAGCGTGGAGAAAACCTCGGCTGCAATTAAGGTTTTGAAACAGGTCGGAGCATATCCTGACGTGGAAAAGGCTAAGGACAGCCAAGGAATCCGACCTGGAAAAGGGAAAATGAGGAACCGGAGGTACATTTCCCGTAAAGGTCCCTTGATTGTTTACGGAACAGAGGGGGCAAAGCTCGTTAAAGCCTTCCGTAACATTCCTGGAGTCGAGGTTGCCAACGTGGAGAGGCTCAATCTATTGAAACTTGCTCCTGGTGGACACCTTGGAAGGTTCATCATTTGGACCAAATCGGCTTACGAGAAGCTTGACTCGATTTATGGGTCATTTGAGAAGCCTTCTGAGAAGAAGAAAGGGTATGTCTTGCCTCGCGCTAAGATGGTGAATGCTGATTTGGCTAGGATTATTAACTCTGACGAGGTGCAATCGGTCGTGAAGCCCATTAAGAAGGGGATCAAGAGGGCACCTTTGAAGAAGAATCCACTTAAGAACTTGAATGCTATGCTGAAGTTGAACCCTTATGCAAAGACTGCTAGGAGGATGTCTCTTTTGGCTGAGGCACAACGTGTTAAGGCTAAGAAGGAGAAGCTTGACAAGAAGAGGAAGCCCATTTCTAAGGTATATCGATCCTGTTTGGACTTTGTTTTCTTAATGCTTTTGAGTTTCTTAATGATGATCATTGCAATTTTCTGTGGGTTAGACCAATGTCTTATTGTATATATCTGTGGAATTATGTGTGCTTTTACTTAATGTTTTATGTCTTTGGATATTTTTGCTTCTTGAATTTGGTTTTGTGATTATTATATGATTAAAGGAATCTTTTTGCTTATTACTGCATCATAATTGTTTGATTAATTGCTGTTTATATTGTTGTTGTGCTTATGAGAATACTCTTTTTTGGATTAGGGCTCCTAGAAGTGTGTCTATTTTAGTTTTTACACGTTTTATTTGTTGAGATATGACCTCTGTTGACAATAAGGGGTGTTGTTGCTTAATACCATACTTGGTTGCTTTTTGACTACCAACTCTTATGGAACATATATCTTGCATATGGAGATGATACTTATTTGGACGACTCAACCTTATACCTGTTCTTGAGTCATCTTTTGTCCGTGTTTATCATTTGGTGTGAGTTTGACTGTTTAATTCATTTAGTTTAGTCATGTGCTAGATGAGTTTTATGCTTTAATCGTTTCACCTTACTTTGAGCAAGAATTTGGGCTCAAAATGACTTATAATGACATTCTTTTTGGTTCACTTTACCCTGTTCTAGTCATATGTTGTATTCAAATTATGATGGCAAATGTTTGCATATTTTTAAGATTCAAATTGTCTCCTGCATTTGCCATTCTTTTTTTTTTATATATATTCTTATTCAGGCCTGATTGACATTTTCATCAATTTCTTATCTGCCATACCATTGTATTTTCTGTTCATCTTTGAGAAAAAAATTCGTGTATTAATGATTCTAGCCTACATGTTATTTTGGTTTTTAATTATTATTATTATTATTGCTATGGATCCCTTATCTATTTTAGTGCTGGCCTTAAGAAAATGTTGATTTGTTGAATACAATGTTAGTTTATTGACTCCTTACTCCTTCCATTTGTCTTTCACTTGGATTTTTCAGGAGGAGGCAACAGCAATCAAGTCAGCGGGCAAAGCATGGTATCAGACTATGATTTCTGACAGTGATTACACTGAGTTTGAGAACTTCTCTAAGTGGCTGGGCGTATCTCAGTAATTTAGTTTTTGCTTTAGAAATTCCCGCAGACAATGTTTGTATCAGTTTTGTTTCGATGTCCACATTTTATTTCTTTTGCTGCTTCAAGTTGGGTGGAGGGAATATTAGTGGAATCTCATGCTCCCGTGCTCTGTTTTTGGCACTCCACCCTGTTTTCGCATTTCATGGCCTTGTGGAATAGTTTATAGTAATAAGAGAACAAGATTTTACAGGTATATCATTGGTCTTCATGTTATTGAGATGTTTGTTTTGCAGTGTCCTAGATAACTGGTTCCGAACTAAAGTTTTGATTCATTTCTGTCTTGCTTGGATGTATTCTCTTTGTTTTTTTTTTTTTTTTTTTTGGGGGGGGGGGGGGGTGGGAAGGGTTTGAATTTGTGATCTGGACTTGAAGAGAATGTAGACCTATTTGATTTATGCCTCGACCTTTTTTTTTTATGAGTAAACATGTTCCCGGGAAGAATTTTGGTGACGATTTTTGCGAGGCTACGCTGCTGGCTGTCTTTTGCAATGTCTAAATCTTCCTGTTAACCCTGCTTTACTGTTAAGATCCAAAAAAAATTAATAACAATAACAATAAAACTTCAGAGGTTGATGAGTCAATGCCAGAAGTTTATACATTGGGCTTGTGAGGGTGGGCCTCAACTCAGATTAGTTTCTATGTGTGGGCACTGTGGAATAGGCCTTCTGTAGGTTTTACCAACACAATACCCAATATATTGTCTGGCAAGAAATGGAGGGGCCTGCTATAGCTGGTAATTTGAAAGGCCCATATCATGTTCCCTTGCAAGTTTTTTGGAATCAAGCTCTACACTCCCTGAATTGCGTCCCACGCCCACCACAATTAAATCTCCACCGTGATCCTTAAATGGTTATTATTGTTAGGCCTTTTTTGCTTTTGGATAATTGAAATTTAAATCCAAAAAATAAATAATAATAACATTTGCTACATGAGCACTATAAAAGATATAAGCCATTACAGTTAACTTTGTTGGTTTGTAATCCAATATTCATAATGATCTCTATTTACAGTATTTTCATTTTCTTACATTTGACAAAAAATAACAAAATCTACCTTTGACAACAACATCAATCTATTGAAACATAACCTCTCAAAATCTTTTCATTTGTGAATGCTCTCAACAATTCCTTTCTTGCCCCTTAGAAATCTCAACAATGCAATCTAAATATTTGCCTTTGAGAAGTTTGCATTGCCCATCCAATATCAGCGTCCCAACTGTTAAAATTTCTAGTAAAATTTGTCCCATTCGGTCTATCAACGGAAAGGCTAAACGTTATGTCTTGTATATATTAACTTAACTAAATAAAAAGTTCATATTAAAACATTTTTTTCGTTCTTTTCTTCTTTCCTTCCTATCAAATCAGAAACTTTTATTGGCATCAGGATTTGAGCTGGTCCACAGTCTGCAGCCTTAATCTGTGGGCTGGCTGAGAGCAACATTCGCATGCCTTCACACGTCGAGATGATTAAGAAAACCAAAAGCATTTTTAAGGTTACTGTTTCTTCTCCAAGTTGAAGTTGGTTTTAATTAATATTGTCGACACTCTGAATATCCTCGAAGTAGCACTTCGTACTGTGCATCTCATAATTATAGTATTTTAAGCATGTCAGAACTTTATTGCATTAAACTAATGTTAGTGACATTGTAGGATGTTGCCATGATCAACAACTTGTCATTTTTGCTTTTAATTTTGCTTGCTAATCACAAGCCCCATCTTCACGCACTTTCATTGGTAATGACAGGCTAGCCCTTTTTCTAAAGCCTCATACACTTTTTTTTTACTCTAAACAAAGCTTACCTTTGTCGTTTTTACTGTGCAGTATCCATTTATGAATGTTAAATATCATGACGCTGACTAGTGTATCAGAGTTAATTATATTTTTATATTTGAATTTTATAAAATATATATTGATATTTTTAAAAATAAAATATATTATTTGTATTTTGAAATTTTTAAATAATATATTATTTTAATTCAGATTATAATACTATTAACTTATTTATATGATATTTAATCATTATAATGTTGCTATATATCTATTATTTATTCAATAAAAATGTTAAATATTTCATATAAATATCATGTGAATATTACATAACAAAAAATAATTTATCAATCATAAATAAATATATAAATGTCAATATATTTTTAATTTATATTGACAAAGTATATTAATAATATTTATGGTAAATATATAATTTAATAATATTGATCAAATATTACATATATAAATGAATATAGTAAATGAGATTAAAGTTTTGATTAATATGATATATAATTTAAAAGTTTGATGTGCAAATTATATATTTGATTTCTTTAAATACTAATTTATATGTTTTCTCAAAATTCATATACCAAAAATATAATTAATTCTATTAAAAAATACTAAAAATAAATAGAGGAAGTCACCCTCCAAAGAAATCGTAGTAATTTTCAATGTGACAATAATTTGTTCATTAATTCTTTGATAATTCTCAAGTTTGTTTTAAAGGAAAATATTTAAGCAAAAAAAAAAAAGTAGGAAATTTTTTTAATTGAATTGAATGTAACAAATTAACTTGGCAACAAACTTATTCTCATATGAAATTTGTCAAAATTTGATAGTGATATTATTTTTTGGGTAACCTTGAAGAGTAGCTTTCATACTTTGCATAAAGAGTTTTTGGTTAATTCCAAAATTAATTCAACCTTGCCAACCAAATTCTGTTCGCGACCTTATATTTTATGTTGGTTAAAGACAGTATTATTGTGCGTAAAGTGGTACAAAAATGAACAACTCTGTCTCGCACTGCTCTCTAATATCATCGCCACCCACCACCAATAAAATTGGTGCAAAGAATATATGGAAGAACGCTAACCCCACTTAATGGTGAGAAAAGTGGAGTGGGAAAACGACTAATGGAAACTCAATTTCATGGCCAATTTGGCTTAATAAACTTTAATGGCCAATAGTATTTTTACAATAAAAAAAGTAATACTAGTACTTAGATTAGTAGTATTAATAATAATAATAATAATAATAATAATAATAATAATAATTGAAAGAAAATGAAATTAGATAAAAAAAAAATAAAATTAAGAAATGTGGCTATCAAAGCACATGGCGTGCGGTAAATTGTAAAAAGCACATGCTGTTATTCGTCCATTTTTTTTGGCTTCTACGCTGAAGGACACGTCGGGCATTCCGCAATCCATTTCTATATCTTCGAAATCACAAATTTTTTATTTTTAAGTAATTATTTATTTTTAAGTTATTAATTTAGTTAATAAGAATAATAGTTTTCTTTATTTTGTCAATTAGGATTTTAAAGGCGTAATTAAATCTTGATTACATCGCCTCATTAAAATAAAAAGGTTTAAATAAAATTGAAAAATATCTTAAATATTATAATATTATAGTTTTTTAAAAGAATATAAATTTTATATTTAAAATGGTTTTAAATAAATAAACAAGATAAAAGTATAACAATTATTATATTTAAATATATTTCTTCAAAGAAAGAAGATAAAGATAGGCTCGGCGTTAGCAACCAATAGCCAATAAGTAAGCTTACTTGTGCGGCCGAAAAAAAAGAAAAAGCTTATTGGGGTGGGTCCATCTGGTTTGGGTTAGGCCCACGTATGGGACAGGTGGAGCCGTTTTAGAATGCTGGCAACGTGTACGGAAGCGGCCCTCTCAAACCTGAGACGATTCCCTGCAATTTGCATTTTTATATTCGACAAAGGATCTTCTTCATGAGAGCATTTCTTCTTTAGATCATCAGTGTCTGCTTTCGGTTTCATTTTTTTTTTTCCTGATTGTTTTTTTCTTGTTATTGAGTTTTCATTTGCATTTGGATATAAAATTATGGAAAATAAATTGTTAACATCTTGATGTATAATTTATATTCATTGAATTAAGTATGCATTTTTTGTCTTTTTATTTGGGCTGGATCTAATCCAAGCAATTTAAGTGGATAAGAGTATGAATATTGAGTTTCACTCAATTCATTTGTGAAATAACTTTTAAAAATAATAACTGATATTAAAATTTTATAATTTATAATTTTTATTTTTACAATTTGATTTTTTTTATAAAAAAAACTGAATGAGTTTTACTAGAACTCTTAAATTGAAATTGAAATCTATTGTGTTTTTATCCCCTGATAACAATCAAATTTTTTATTTCAAAATTTTAGATTATAATATTATTTTACTACACCTACAGATTAGGAGAATGATACAAATCCTGTGAGGAATATTAAAATTAGCAATGCTAAAAAAAATTAAAAACAAAATGAGATGTGATAATATCTTAATTTCATTTGTGAAAGTTAAAAATTTCACTAATAATATATAAAAAAACGATTTCTTGTTAACCCTCGTCTATAATCCTTGTTTGATTTTTAATTAGGAAAAAAAAAAAAAAACTTGTCCTAGAAATTCACCGATATCAATCACCACCCAAACTAGTATGTATTGATGTTAAAATATCAGTGATTCCCAAATTCTAATAGTAGCGTTTTAAGTTATGAACTTATGATTTGAATTATAACACTAGGGGTCATCCTCCCTCGCCCTTTGAAAGATAAGGCCATCAGAGCGGTCATATTTGTGGATTTAATCAAAATACTTAATTTGTGTAGGTCAGTTCTTTAAACCAAACACCCTATCATCATAGTATTACTAATTCTAGCAAAATATTATTATTAACATTTCGATTAACACATAGCAACCAAGCTTTCTGGTAAAGTGACACTCTATATTTGGTAAGATGCTATAATAGCAATTAGACAACTAATAAATCTTGATCCAATCAAAATTTAAATGTATTTAAGATTTATTTAAACTTTTTATTTTTATCAATTAAATTATCATATGAGTGATCGAAGATAAATTTTTGATCAATTTAAAAAATTAGTTTTGTTAATAATAGTAATTTATACTACATAATTAAAATAATTTTCTTAAAATTTATTATATTATACCTGATAGCTATTTGATGTACATTTAAAAATATAATAATATCTTATTTTTATAATCGTTTAAAATTATCTTAATCTCTCTTATTATTACGAAAAATACTCTACTGATTATAATTGACCAACCACAATTGACCAACTATAATTAAAAGTAATTCATTTAAAAATAACTATATTATCCCTCCAATTATTTGATAATTATTTGATATGTGTTAAAAAATATAATAATATTTGTATTCCCATAATCAACTAAAATTATTATTATGTCTCTCTTACCATAATTATGAAATGTTATTTTTGTCATAATTAATTAAAATTATTATAATATTATTTATATTATAATTATAAAATACTTCCTTATCATAATTGATCAAAATTATCATAATAATTCACCTATCATAATTACAAAATGACATACGACATTTCATTTAAAATTTATTATAATGTCTTTATTAAATTATATATTAAATTTTATCATAATATAAAATTATTAAAAATTTTTTACTATTATTTCATGCATATTTGATATGTTACATTTTATTAAAATTATTATAATAAAATCTATTAAATTACATATTAAATTAATTATATAAGATTTAAATTTATATTAAATTAATATAAATTTATACAATATATTAATAATAATCTCCCATAAAAATTACAATAAAAAGTATATTTATTATTTATATTAAACTAATAAATATATTAAAAATAAAATTTAATAAAAATTATCAACACCAAGGATAAAAATATTGTTAAGTTATAAAACCAGCCTACTGCTATAAATGGAAAGGATATCTAACCAGATGATTCACGTATTTAATGAGGGTTGGTGCCACACTTTACCAATAAAATATGTACTTAAATGCCTTAAAATAAAAGGGTTAGGGCTAGCTAGGATATGGTTCATTAAGGGCCGTGGAAAACCTATGAAAGTGCATGTAGATGATCGACAGGTGTTGAATAAGGGGCAGAAGGTCGAGGATGGGGGCCGGTTCTCTTAGCAATAGTGGCTTGGCCTAGGGGCTAAGGCTAGTGCTAGTCTAGAGTCACATTCGATTACCAGCTTTGACTTTTTTTAAGAGAAAATTAGATTAAATTGTTTATACGAGATGTATGAAATTTTATTTTAAAATAATTAAATTAAAATTAAAATAGAAAGAATTTTAAAATTTATTATATAAATTAAATATGTAAAATTTATAAAAAATTTAATAAAATTTGATTTTTTAAATAAATATTTTTCATAAAATTTTATCATTGAATACATAACAATTAAATATAAATTATAAATAATATTTTAAATAAAATTTTACTTATTATTTATCTTTATATTAAATTTTATTAATTTAATAATATTTTAAATAAATTTTTACATATTATTTATTTTTACATTAAAATTTTTTAATTTAAAACTTTTATTAAAATTTATTAAATTATTTTTAAAATAAAATTTTACGAACTCCACCCTAATATCTTCGTATAAGTTTTGCTTTTTCTTTTTAATTATCACTTTTATCTCTAACCTAAAGAAGCAAAATAGTTTACTATCAATTATTAGTCATTCAAGGAAATGATTTTGTGGGTTTGGTATTAGCGTTTTTCGTTGATGTATGATGAGAAAGAGTGTTTCATAAAGAGAGAAAAATGGAGAGGGTTTTGAATGATTTAAAAAAATCCAAAATGGCAAAATAGGCAGCTACTTGTTCCTCATACGTCCCATCTTTTCCTTTTGAGGGACCCTCTCTTCTCCCTCTCTCTTTCTCTTTTGTCTTTGATGTTTCCTCCCTTTTCCTTAGCAATCACAAGCTTCCAAAGCTTCCACCCAACCTCACTAAAACCATACCCAACAAACAAATGAATCCTCTCCCTTGATATCTCCTTCCTTACCCAAACCCACCCTTCCTCTCTTCTTCTGAAGATATACATATAAACCTTCAAATCCTTCTTTGTTTTCCCATTTCATTTTTTAGCTTTAATTATGATGCTGGATCTTAACTTGAGTACTATTTTGGGTGGCGATGATGATTCAGCGGTGATGGCCGGAGAGAATAATCCTTTTGACATTTCTGGTTATAATAATACTAACCAAATGGTAAGTTCTGGGAGCTACGATTCTTCCATCGTCAACGCCGACACCACAACCACCACCGGTGACGATGACTCTTGTTCCAACATCGCTGCCACCGACACTTTTGCTTACTCCTTCGGCATCCTCAAAACTGCCCAAGAAGAACCAGAAAACAACAGGACAACCATCCCGCTTTTCCCGGCCAGCGTCGAGGGAAATGGCGGGAAGTCAACAGGATCGTCGCAGAAGAAATGGCTGGATCTCGGCGGGTCCCAGGAAGCTTCCGAGCACTACCATGGTGGTGGAGGAGCCGCGGAGCAGAGGATTGTGACCCAGCAACAGTATCAACAGCAGGCTCAGTTAAGGCAGCAAGTGAAGAAGAGTCGACGTGGCCCCCGTTCCAGAAGTTCTCAATATCGTGGCGTCACGTTTTATCGTAGAACCGGACGATGGGAGTCTCATATTTGGTTAGTTTCTATTCCTTCTTTTTTTTTTCCTCTGCAGTAGCTTAAGTAATCCTTGATTATTACTAATTAATTTTGCTTAATTCTATCATTTAACTTGTTTTCTTTTTCTTCTTTCTCATTGGCTATTTTTTTCCCTTTGAAATTAATGTAGGGATTGTCGGAAACAAGTTTACTTGGGTGAGGAGAATTTCATCCATAACCGTCCTTTTTCCCCTTTTTGAGAAGCTTAAAAATTGTGGGTTTTAAATTTTAATCTGTGAAAAATCTGGATGTTTTTGGCTTTTTTACAGGGGGGTTTGACACAGCACATGCTGCAGCAAGGTGAAATTTCTCAATTTGGTCAAGTTTTTTTATCTTTTTCTTTTGGAATAAATGTTGAAAATTTGGGGTTAAAATTTTTTGTTTTGGGGTTGTTGACAGGGCATATGATCGAGCGGCAATCAAGTTCCGAGGAGTTGATGCTGATATTAATTTTAATGTTAGTGATTATGACGATGATATTAAGCAGGTTGGAAATTTAGGATGTGATTTGTTGAATTTAATTTATGCATCTGGAAATGATACAAAGAAGTTATTTGACGATTGTTGGTTTTGTAGATGAGTAATTTTACAAAGGAAGAATTTGTGCATATCCTGCGTAGGCAGAGCACCGGTTTTTCAAGAGGGAGTTCCAAATACAGGGGAGTTACATTGCACAAATGTGGCCGATGGGAAGCTCGAATGGGGCAATTTCTTGGCAAGAAGTAAGCATCCTTTTGCTAATTTAGAACTTTAATTTTATTTCTGTTAATGCATTTGGTTAGTATTGTTTTTAATTCTGTTATTTTTGTATATAAAATGGTACTAATATATTGATTGATATGTTGTCTTAAATGAATTGGTTCATGGTAACTGCTGGAAACTTGGTTTTTATTGGGTTTGTATACATTCCTTTCCTGCAGGTATATATATCTTGGACTATTCGATAGCGAGATAGAAGCAGCAAGGTCCTTTGATCATAAATTCTATCTCTTTTATAATACCACCAATTAATTGATTTCTCAACCAGCTTGACTTCCAATTCTCCTTGTCTATGTTATTATTCTTTGAAATCAGGGCTTATGATAAGGCTGCTATAAAATGTAATGGAAGAGAAGCGGTCACTAACTTTGAGCCAAGCACATATGAGGAGGAATCTGAAAAAGGAGGTACTGTGTTTAGAAAGTTGTTATCTGCTTATGTCTATAAACAATTTTTTCTTTTAGTGTACAGTGAATTGTTGATTCTCCTTCTACAGACCAGAATCAAGGTCTTGACCTGAACTTGGGCATTGCGCCTCCTTGTACATCTGATCCCCAAAAGGAGAGCGACAATTCAAGTAACTGGGATGGCCTGCCCGTTGAGAGGGGAGCAAGGGTAATGTCAATTGAAATTTCAAATTCTTAAGTTTATTTCAGCTCACTGATTGGAGGCATTTAGTTGCTTAAAAAGCTTATATTCACCCTTTTCAGATCGAGAACTCTGTTTTGACAACAATGAGCCTTCAACCTAGTCTAGGCCAGGCAATGGCATTCAAGCACATTCCAAACTGGAATGGTGCAAATTCCACTTTCTTTCCAGTTTATAGGGTAAGCTCCACACTTCTTTGGTTAGTCTACGAAATTGTTTGATCATCAACATGAATTTTACATTGAATGTATAGGGTTTTTTTTTTTTTCCTTTATAGGACCATATTTCATTTGAATTTTATGCAATGCTGACAAATAATATATTTGCATTCAATTATTTACTCTTCTTCCACCTTACATCTTGATCAATGAATTGTTTATGATACGATAATTTATGATTTAATTTTTTTATTATTTACAGGAAAGAGTGATAGAGAAGAGGATAGAAGTAGGTTCTCCACCAAGCTTGGCATGGCAAATCCAAGGCCCTTATAGTGGGACCAATCCAGTGCCACTCTTCCCTACTGCAGCATCATCAGGATTCTCATCTTCAATAATTACTTCCTCATCAGCTGCTACTGGCCAACTTCACAATCCTAACACAACATTCCTCCATCACCATTATCCTCCGGTGATCACAAACCCTAACATCTCCCATTTCTACTGCAGAAGCTGAAAGGTAGAATATGCCACCATTTATCATATCTCTCTACTAAATGGAGAGAGTATGGGTAGGCAATCGATGAAACAAAATTTGAGGGCGTAGCAAATGTATTATAATGTGAAAGGCGGTATACACAGAATGATCAAATTGATCATGTTTGTTTCTTGTAAAGCTCATCAAACTAGCAAATGTATTATGGTTTGGTGGTCATGTGCAAAATTTGGTCAATTTGAGCCATAAATTCGAATGTGACTGCTGTTAATGGTGCCATTCCAAACCTCTGTTTGATCTATCTGTAACCAGCAAATATGTTTAGCCTTTTGAGACGTAACACTCGGCAGAGAGGGAAAGCAAAATGTTAGGTTAGGTCCCTTTTATGGGTTCTCGTTTTCAGCCTAACTAAAGCACTAGACAGTGGTCTTCAACCAAAGGAGTTAATGAAGGAATTTCAGAGAGTAAAAAAAAAAGTTATCATCTTCGTAGAGCTTATGAACTGCTATAAAAAAGTTTTACCTGATGTGAAAGTCATCTTCCCTATTTGCAATTTACTATTCTACCCCACCCTTCATATTCATTTAAGACGAAGGGTCCGCACTGCCATCGGTAAAAAGGAGACAAAGAAAAATCTCTGATTGAAAATATTTACTGGTACTTCATTTTGTGTTTTGTTGAAAGAATAAAAACTGAAGTAGCAATCTATAGTCACGTGTAAAATTGGGGGTACTTCATATATTGGCCTTTGAAATACTTGTTTGGATTAACAGTTTAAAAAAAAAAAAAAGGGAAAGAAAGTAATAAAGTCCGCATTCCTCGGCTTTGGTCAGGGATAGTACACATGCAACTGCAAAAAGAGCGAAAAACAAAAGGAAATCTGAAATATAAGCAGCTCGAAAAGCCTGGTGTACCTTTCATTGCGATAATAGTTGGAGGCTTTGATTATTCCAGCAGTGCCTTTCATGTTCCCTATGACATAAAATAGGGCTTAAATAAATAAAAAAAAAAAACTCCGAAAACTATAATTAAAAGTATTAAAATTTAATTTTTTAATATAATTAATTAATCAGACTTTTAGTTTGAATGAAAATTACCACATAAATAACTCCATTAGTTTTCTCATAAAAATTGTCGCTTGACATGCCAAGTGACATTTGTGAAAAAAAACATAAAAATATCACATGGCAAAAACAATAAAAGAGAAAAATAATTTATTTTATTTTGACTTTTGTTTTCTTTTTTTTTGAAAAATATCACATGACAAATTTTTTACTCTACATGACATGTTACGTGGATATTTTTATGAAAAAACTAATGTTATTATTTATGTGACAATTTCATTTATAATAAGAATTTAATTGATTGTAAAAAAATATTTGAAAATGTTTATTAATTACAAAAATAAAAATAAAAAATTTGAATAATGTTTAATTATAATTAAATTTTTTTTTATATTTAAGTATTAAAATATCCGTATCTGTTCTTCCTTTTAAAATTTCCAGTATCGTATAGCCAGCTGCATGCTTCTCAAACTTCTAGGCTTTTCTTTGTCTCTGACTCTGAGTCATACTTCACTTGGCTGATGGCTCTGCTTTGGCTTTGCTTCTATCTACCCAGAGTCCCTGACTACTTCCTCTTCCTTCTTTGTCATTGTTGTTGGGTCCCTGACTTTTTTTAGGCCTTAGCCATGGCTCTAGTCCAGGTTCAAAGATTCCCGGTTATGGGATATCTCTATTAACCGTTGGTTTTTGTAGGGCACCAAACTCTTTTGCGTAATTACAGTACTTTGGTTCCTTTTATTTCTAGAGAGGAGGGCATTTGTCTTGAGGATTTGTCCCTCACTTCACCCTTCCCTCCCCAAAGGGAAAGCCATACATACGGTGTAATACATCGCGGTGATAGATATCGATTCAAGTCAATTGGCACAAAAGTTAAAGATAGAAATGGCATAAGTAGCATGTTTTTAGTGTTAAAGAGTAGTACAGCTGAAGAACATGAAACCAATGAACCTGTCCCTTATGCTTCACTGACAATTATGACAATACCAATTTGAAGTAAACATTCATTCATCAATATCTACGTACATTATCATCTTCCCACTCTTTATCTTTTTACATCAGATGCTTTCTGATAGTTTTCATATTTCGAATAGGCGAATAGGGAACAAGCTGCTGTAACAATGACCCACCATATTCAGCATCCCAGCTCTCACTTGTCATTTAGTTTTCTAGGGGCAATGGAGTATTATTGCTTGTGAAAACTATAGATTGCTTGGTCCATTTCATTTCATTCCGAGGTCCGTCCTGAAAAGTGAAAACCTCCCTAGTAGATGGGAGTTGCCTGTATTTGTTAATGTATATAGTATACATATTTTATTTGGAAATTTCCATGCATCTCCAGGATTTCCGTTTCTCTCTGGGCCAATGCCCTTTTGTTTCGGTACATATAGGATGAAGGCATTATCTAGCACTCTATATACGAGAGGGGAGATATTTTACAACTTTCACCGTCCATGACCCACGTGATCGGCCCTGTTTTGGCAGCAACAAGCAACAACACAGCCTTTTCTGCCTAACTCTTTGCAAACTTTGTTTCTGTTTGCGTCACTCATTTGCAGTGCCATTAAAAGGACCAATAATTAATTTTATACAGTATAATAATTGGTATAGGGCATAGTGTACTAGGCTACAGTATTACTCCCCACTGTACATAAAAACTTTGAAGCATGGAAATTCCTGGTTTTTAGTGCTGGGGTTTTGCTGATATATATTGAGAAAGTTGCCTTCTTGTTTTAAGTTTGGAACTCGGCGGCGGAAAATATCATTAGCTATAGCCTGCCTATAGGGTTTCCACCTGTTGAAGGAAACGAGAAGAATGACTTTGATAGTGCTACGTAGGGAGGACTAAATCTTTTGTGTTCCAAATATGGTTGTGGGTTCTATATGATACTGTCTTTATATGTGAATATAAATATATTTTGAGCAAAAACAAGTCCTAGGTTGTACCCATTATTTAATTATCCTTCATTCTCCGAACGATAATTGATAAACAAAAATGCCTATAGACTTGAAAGAAAAAAGAAGCTAAAGTATTTATATCAAGAAAATTTGTCTTCTTCCCCGAGAGCAAACTTGTATTCTATACAATGGAGTCCATACCATCAGCTTATTCCCTATGTACTAGAACAGTATACATTGATAAGCCCCATGATTTTTTTTTTCTTCTGAAAATTGAAAGTACAACAATTTGAGGTTTTGAACAATTGAACCATATAAGAATGATATGCAGCTACATTGATCAAGTACCGTCATAAAGATTCAAGGGGGTTAGGGGGGGTAAGTTTCACTTCAAGGGTTAACAGAAAAAATACAAGTACCTCACTCACTTAAGAGGTTAATAGTAGTACAAACCATTTTTTTACTATTACGTGCGTGAACATGCACTCTCATCACAGGAACAGTAGGATTCAGTGGCGTAAGCCTATAACGTACAGGTAACAGCCATGCAAGTTCAAGCAGCATTTCTATTTATTATATTTTTTTTTTCAAGAAAATATCTGGCTTGGCCATTTCCAAGGGGCATATGTACTAGGATATAGACTAGAAGTAGGCCCCTACCACTACGACTCTTAACTGGCTCCATTGGGACAGTGGACTGGGTTTGGATGGACTCCAAAATAAAGATCCTTGTCAAGGGTCCCTTTGCATTCTGCTTTCAACTGTGCATATGTTAGTTTTCTTTTTTGAAAACATTTTTATCTGCTTTAATATTTTAAAGGGCGACTACAAGTATCAAATATATTTCTGACTCTGGACTTTAGTGGAAAAGTCTATAGCCTTTGGCCCTTTTCAATCGTACTGTTTTGGCACTGCAAAACCAATATTTTGTGATTTATCGATCGGTCTTCAAAAAGAAAGACGGAAAAAGAGGAATTAACATTGGCAATTGGCATGCTGAGGACTGAGGAGGAGTTAGGGACACCATGGGAAGGGTGCACTGAAATGACATTGACAGGAGTGCATAACAGTGTTGTGCACGACTTCAACGCTTTTCATGATTTTCTTTTGGGAATTCAAATCCATTTCTACACAGCCATGAGTTCCGAGTGGACCACCCCATGAACTAAAGCCGGACTTAGGCATGACATCGTGCTGGCCAATGCATGGCCCGACCCACAAATTCAAGCCTAAAAATCATGCCCAGTCTCAGCCTTAATTCGAGGAATGAAGCCTAGATCTACATTGCGTTTAACAAATTGATTTAATTTTATTTCTTTTATGTTGAACAACCATGATCGTGCCTACAGGCTACAAGCACTTCACATCAGAAGCGTACGCTTCCCACGCTTACTAATAGTTATCCTTAGTTAATTTAAAATGCTATTTTGACATCGATATTACATTAGATTAAAAATATCCTCTAAGAGTAAAAATTAATTTGGGAAAAAAATAAGATTTTTGATTGAAATTTTATCTTTTTTAATTTTATTTTTTTAATTTTGGTTTAGAAAATGTGGTTTTTAAAATTTCAAACGTATAAAAAAAAGAAAATAGAGAGACTAAAGACTTATTTTTCTAAATTTTTTTTCGATTAAAGGAAAGTAAATTTTATACCCCACTTATCCTTAATTAATTGCACTTTCAAACTATATTATCCTTTTTAGTCTCTTAAAATGATTTTTGTTATTTATAATTTCAATAAGTACTTCATTTTCAAGATAAAAAACATGGTGATATTAAAATTTTATTTTCGAAATTCTAAAATTTTAGTAAAGATATTTTTTAAAATAAAAAATGCAGTGGATATTAAAATTTTATTTTCAAAATTTTGAAATTTTAACAAAATTCATGTTTTTAAAATAAAAAATATAGTAGATGTGAAAATTTTATTTTTGAAATTATGAAATTTTAACAAAGACCATGCTTTTAAGATAAGAAATATAAAGACGTTAAAACTTTATTTTCAAAATCATAAAATTTTAACAAAAATCATATTTTTAAAATAAAAAATAGTGGATGTTAAAATTTTATTTTTGAAAATTTAAAATTTTAACAAAGATCGCATTTTAAGCATAAAAAATATAGTAGATCTTAAAAATAAATTAATCAAGACTGCATTTTAAGTATAACAAATATAATAGATGTTGAAATTTTATTTTTAAAAATTTGATATTTTAACAAAGATTGTGTTTTTAAGATAAAAAAATAGTGGATGTTGCTAATATAAAAAAATAAAATAAAATAAAACATCCAATATATTTACTCAATATTATTACATATAAAATTTAAAATACACTTACTATTATTATTACTTATAGAATTTATTTCGGGAGCTTCACCCCTGAACCCCTAGAAAAGGGGTTTACCACCCCTTTCCAATTTTTACGTTGACTTTAATCCGAAGATTGATTCACATATTTTCTTTATGTAGGAACAATCAACGTAAGGATAATAATTAGAATTGTAAAATTATGTTTGTTGAAAATATGAAGAAAATATATTTTTTAAATTCTTTAATTTCAATGAAAATTATGTATTATAAATGTCATGTGTTATTAGAGACAAAGTAATAAAAGATTTTATTAGGTAATCTTATATTCTTATAAACCAAACATAACAATTAATCTTACATTTCTTAGGTCAACAAAACTTAAGAATCACATATTACCTTTCAATATTATTTTCCCTTGAAATCACTTTCTTTTATGGAATCTAAGAATCTGTGAACCAAACGCCTTTTAAGGGGGTGCTTGGTTCGTGAAATATTAGATTTTTGAGGAAATTGTGATTCTATTTTAAAGGCATCTCGTGTTCAGATTTACTCGTTTGATTAG